GAGGTAGCCAGGGCCCCTCCTCTGCCGGCTGGCTCACTGCCGCATGGCTCCCTTCAGCTCAGAGGGCAGCAGCAAACTGGGGCACATGGTGCCAGAGAGGACTTGGCCAGGCTTGTGTATGGCTACTGGAATGGAGAGAGACACCCAAGGACAGAGGACATCCGGTCTCAGGAGAAGTAAAAGGTGTTTGGATGTAGGCCATCTTTCAAGGTACCTTATGTTTGCCAGGGGAACCTGGGTGGGTGTGGGAAACAAGGGTATGCCTGTCGGCTGGGAGTGGTCTCCCCTCCTAAAACTGCTGGCTCTCATGGGGCCCGAGGGGCCTCATCTGAGAAATGGCACTCACTGGGCAGGCCAGGCAGTGTCAGAACATGCTCAATGTTAAAATAGCCATTAAAGGAACAAGAATTGTTATTAAATAATTATTACACACGTATTTTACAAAGATAGTTTCACGCAATACTTACAAGAACCATAGGAGGTGGGCAAAGTTAAGAGCCCTATTTTACAGATGAAGAAACTGAGGCTGAGAGCGGAGGACATCACCCTGCAAGGGCTTGAAACCAGCCGTTCAGCCTCCAGTGCCTCCAACCCGGCCTCCGCTCTTTACTGCCTCCTAATTGCTACTGTGGTTTTCCTGGCAGCGTGGAAGAAAGCGAGGATGAAGTAAACTGAATTTTTGCATTTTTTTTAAGTTGGCTAGGTTTTCAACAGTGCAAGCACTGAGCCCAGGGTCCGTCTCGTTGCTCCAGTTAAGCTCTTGTGCATTGAAATGTGAACCCTTGACAACAGAATCAGCCTGGGCCCCCTGTCCGGTTTTGCCGGTCAAGTGACTGTCTCCCCCTGGAAGCAGGCCCGGCTCGATGCACGTGGGACCCCTGGTAACTCGTGGCTGCATGCAGTCTAACGGTCAGCAGGCTTGGGAACCCTCCGGGGAAGTCCTCCTCTGTCAGGCAGGGTGCCAGTGAGCCAGAAACGACCCGTCAGTTTGGGGAATCAGCAGGTTTCCCAAGAACCTTTCCTCTTTCTTCTTCTCTCTCATTTTATCAGCGGTGCAGGCGTGTTGGTATGTGTGTATGTGGGAGAGAGAGAGAGAGGTGGGGTGGGGGGCTGGTACCAGTAAGGGAGAAAGTGGGGACAGAAGGAGAAAAACCAATTCCCAGGAACTTAGTACGGAACACATATGCAGGCACTTGTCCGAGGTTGTACACCAGAAACTATAAAACTGCAAAGTTCTTTGAAGTTTGCCCAGAACCTACCCCATGGCCACCTGTTCCACGGGGCGCACGAGTGGATGGCCCAGCTCTGCCGAGACGACTCAAGCTGTCACCGCACTGGAACGTTCCAGCTTGCCTTGGCCTGGCTGTCATCGCTGGCTCTGTCCCACGCAGGCCGTTCACCAGCTTCTGCCGGGCACCAGGCTTCCAATTAGAGAGAAGTCCCACTGTGTGGCCAGCCCCACCAGCGCCACGCTGAGCAGCCCCTTTGCCAAGGCCCAAGCTGACCTCTGACCTATCACAGATGGGCCAGCCTCACACTCTTTTGTGCACATTTGGAGGAGGGGGCCAGGGATGGAGAGGGGAGCCTGTGGAGAGCCAGAGTGGACAGTGGGCAGAAGTGCGACTCCTTGGGGCCTGGGGAAGCTGGGCAGAGCTGACAGGTCCCGAATGCTAACATTGCGTAGGGAAAGGGGACTTCGGGAGGCCCTGTCCTGGGCCCCAAACTCAGCAGGGGGCTTTCCCCACCAACTTCTGAATATTCATCTCAGGCTGGCCTCCAAGCCGGAGGGGAGCCAGGGGCAGCAAGCTGGCTCACTCCAAACTGTCACAGCGCTGATGGCGCATGGCACTGCCAGCGTCCCCTACCACGCTGTGCAGCCAGGGAACCTGCTCACCCTGGGCTACGGGAGCCTCTGCGCGCTGTCAGTGAATCCCCCCCCAGGCAGAGTGGAAGGGAGAGCCAGTTCCTGCTCGCATACGCAGCAGACCATGAGAGTGCACGCAGGACCCAGAGGCAGACGCTTGGAAGGCTTCTCTCTGGTCACAGCAGCTTTGGATCGTCACCCCCACCCCTTTGTTATCAAAACAAACCAACCCTCTTTTCCTTGCTCTAACTCTGCCAGGCTGTCTGTGTCTCTGTCCCCTCCCTCGTTCTCCAGGGACGGGGCAGTGCCTCCGCAGTGGGAAGTCACAATGAGGACACCGGGGCTGGCCCGTAGACGCCCGCTGCACTGACCGGAGCCATCTCAGACTCCAGCCCATGCAAGTGGCAGGGCCTCCCGGCTGTCCTTGCAATGATGCGGCGCTCTTGTTCCACGCTGTTTTAACATTGAGCATGTTAAAACGGGACCCTTTCCCAGGGAACGGGATGGAAAGGTTTCTTCCCCACTCCCTCCCCTCCCTGGGATTTTGCTGCCTTCGGAGGTTTGCCCTGGGTCAGGGAATTCCAGGCCCTTTTATCCTGTCCCGTTTCTCTTCTGCTCTGACTGCTCCAACCTAACACCTTTCTTAAGGGCGTGCAGTCGTTCCTATAAGAAAACAGACTCCTTTAGGCCCCTGAGCAAGTTGCCACCAGGAAGCCTCCGTGTGCGGGGCTCTGCTAACTAACGGGGCGTGACTGTGCAGCCTCCCCATCCATGTCTGTGAGCTCAGCTGGGGTGGGGGATGGAGGCGGTAGTCAGGGGACGTGGTCCCCTGAGTTAGCAAGACAGGCGTGGCCATCACTCTAGAATTGGTATTGCTGAGTAGGTAACCAAGGAGCCTTGCTGCCAGGGCAGGTGAAGCACTGGACGGCTAGACGGAAGGTTGGCAGTTCGAACCTCCCAGCCGCTCTGCCGGAACAAGCTGAGGCAGTCCGCTTTGCCCATGACGCACAGTCTCAGGGACGCTGTGAAGCAATTCCACTCTGTGATGCAGGGCCCCTCCGAGGCGGGATGATCGCCCCCGTGGCTTGGGCTTATGATGTTAGGGCCCGGCAAGTGGGGCCCTGCTCTTTCACCAGGTCAGACCCCAGGTGCAAAATGCCCCCCAGCTCCCGGCTAAGGGGGTAGCCAGGACTGCAGAGGCAGAGCTCTTAGCAGACGTCCACAGGGCCCTCCTCGCAGAGTGATGGCCACTTTGAGACACGGGCCAAGCCAGGCCCACCCACCACTTCTTTCCTCCCTTTTCCTTTCTTTCCATTTCAGGGTCCCCAGCGGCGTCTTGGGAAAGGCGGTGGTTAGGAAGGCACTCGGTCGCATGTAGTAGGTGACAGGTGGAGCCACCAGCCACCTGGTCAGTGGTTCAAACCCCCAGCTGCTCTGTGAGGCTGGCGGTCTGCACCTGTAAAGATGGAGGGTCTGAGAAACCCAACGGAGCGGTTCTGCCCTGCCCTCCAGGTCACGGCGAGGCACATCGACTCGGGGGCAGAGCACTGTTGTGGGGAGTCCTCGAGTTGGTCCCCGCTCGCTACAGTGCTGCGGACAGCAGGGTGGGGTGCCGCCTGGCCCTGGGCCGTCCTCACAACTCTTCTTGTGAGCGAGTCCTCTGTTGCAGCCCGTGTATCTGTCCGTCATCGCCTCGGTGGTCCTCAGCTTGCACTGCTTCCCCATCCCCCCAAAAACTGCCCTCTGCTTTACCAAGCCTGAGTCCTTCTCCAGGGACTGGTCCCCCCCCAAAAGACCTGTGGTGAAGCCGCACCCTGCGCCCTGCTAAGGCGCGTCTAGCTGGGCTTCTTCTGTCAGTGCACGGTGTAGGCGGGATCCTTCACCAGCCCCACAGTCCGGGGGCAGCAATCAACCCTTCCAAACCCAGGGCCCTGCTTTCCTCGGCATCCTAAGCGATTAACAGTGCCCTGATCTGGGCCAGGTGCCCCTCAGGCCCTAGCAGCCCCATCTGGCTTTGTCACGCTCTGCGCAGGTGTTAGCAGCAGAGTTGCCCTGAGTAATCCACCGCCGACTTCGTGACTGCCGCTTCGGTGGGCATGGATTGTGGGTACGAGTCAGATGATCCTTTCCAGCTCGCCTCTTTCCCCTGTCCGTCACGATCCAGTCGAAAGGAATTCTGTTCTCCTAGACCATGCCGAAGGCTGCAGCCTTTGGTCGTCATCCGCGAGTGCCCCAATTCCTCTTTGCATTCAGAAAGCCGGTGGTGCTGCTGCACCAGCACGTGGTGGATTGTGAATGAGTCTCCGCTAACCCCCACGCGTGCTCTTCTTCATGCAGCCCCGCTTACCCGGCGTACGGATGGAGCAAGTGCTCACACAGGGCGCACCCCTCCTGGCTTTGCGCCCGGCAGTGGCTGCACAGGTTCTCGTACGTGAGCACAGCTGGGTGTTCTGGAACTCCCGTACCACCACTCACCTGTGTGTCTGCCATCCGTGGCCTTTCTGTGACACTGGAAGCCAAGGCCGCCGTTGTTTCAAACACCAACCGGGTCAACCTTGGTGGGCGGATTTCAGCAAAGCTTCCGGACTATGAGAGACTGGAAAGCTCTACTTCTGAACAAAACGGGCCGGTGGAGACCTGGTGGCTAGTGGCCAGCCGAGCAGCTGCCTGACAGCAAGGAACAAAACACTGGCTGCTGTCGCGTTGGCTCTGGACATGGCCGTCCCGTGTGGTTCCGAGCAGCACCAGGCACCACGGGGTCCTCGGGGGCTGCCCTCAAGAAGCAAGTCACCAGCCCCGTCTTCTGAGCCGCCTCTGGCTGAATGTGAACCTCCCTCTTCCAGGTAGCAGCCAAGCACCTTAGCTTTGGCCCCACCTGGGAGGTCCTTGTTCAGCCTGTTCTGGGTCAGGCCTGGGTTTCAGAAAGCATGGAGGCTCCACCTTGGATGCTGATGCTGATGCCTCTCTGCATCACACCCTGGATGGGAGCTCCTGGGCCCCAGAGACTGACCGTCTGTTCTCCCCGCCTCGCTGTGTCCCCCGGCTGACCTGTTGACAGTGAGGAAGAAGCCAAGGGAGAAGCAGGCAGGATTCCTAGGAGAGCTACTGACAGTTTTGCCCTGACCTCTCGTGGCAGATATTCCCGTTATTCCGGATCTGGAAGAGGTTCAGGAAGAAGACTTTGTCCTGCAGGTGGCAGCCCCTCCCAGGTGGGTTAAGTTCTGTGTGGAGCTGGCAGGGAGGCGGGCACTTACCAATCCCAGCGTGGACCAGCAGCCTCCATCTGGCTAGCATTTTGTCCCCATTTGCATTGTCCCTGCCTACATGCGAGGGTCTGGGCTAGGCGGCTCAGCAGCCCTCCTGGAACTGGACCTACCCATGCCCATTCCTCTCGCTCTCCCCTGCCCGCAGCATCCAGGTCAACCGGGTGATGACCTACCGTGACCTGGACAATGACCTCCTGAAGTTCTCCAGCTTTCAGAATCTGGTGAGTGGGGTGGCTTCTGCACAGGCTCCAGCACCATCTCTCCAGAGACTTCCTGAGCAGACAACTCATGGCAGCCAGGCCTTTGCTGGAAGACTCGGCCCCAGGCAGCTCAGTTTCCCTGGACCGAACATCATTTCTTAGCGCCAGCCAGCCCCTACACACACAGCCACAGCCACATGCACACACACATGCACACACACAGGCACACACACAGACACACAGGTGTCCCAGTGCTGTGCTGCTGCGGTGCCCTGCCCTCCTGTTGGCCCTGGTTTCTCAGTGTCCTTGGCCCCCTCACAGGCTCCTCCACTGGAGAGGTTTTGCAGGTCTGGGACTGGGGGTTCTCATGCTCGTGGGTCCCCAGGGCGCACGTGGCTCTGTTTGCCTTCACAGGATGGTGAAGTGGACCTGAAGCTCCTCACCAGAGTTCTGGCGCCCGAGCATGAGATTCGAGAGGTACGGCGGCCGCAGCATCCCCCTTCCCCCACTCCCCGGCTCCCACGGGCCTGTTGTTCCTGTGGACAGCTGAGGCTGCACGGGGGCGGAGAGCCACGGCCTTTCTTCGTGGCCCCCAGCTGCTCCCCTCTTGGCAGGATGATGTCGCCTGGGACTGGGGCCATCTGTACACGGAGGTGTCCTCTGAGCTCCTCACTGAGTGGGACCAGCAGCAGATGGAGAAGGAGGACCCTTCGGGGCAGCCCAGGAACCCCTGATGCTGGGGTGGGGGGGCAGACCCTTCTCTCTGCCCACAGTGACCACTGCTGAGCACGGGACAAAGACAGCCAGCCGTACTCGAGAAGCTGACTCGAGAAGCCGAGTAGTCAAATTTTTTATCCAGAATCTTCTGTCCTGTTTATTCTCGCAGACCACGTAGGGGTCATCTGTCACAATAAAGTGCTTACTCCAGGGTGTGGGGTCCCTGTCTGTGACAAGTCTCTGGGGAGGCCCAGTGGCTCTGGAGCAGCCAGAGGGTCAAAGGGAGCGGGCGTCCCTCAGAGAGCACAGCATCCCGGTGTGGTGCCTGTGCACACGAAGGCAGGTGTGGGGCAGTGGGAGCTTCTGACACCTGCCCCTGGCACTGGGGAGTCTTTCTCCCCATGGGCATGCAGTACTATTCTGCTAGACCCCTGGGGTCTGCTGTCACTGCAGAGGGGCCACCAACCACATGGGTGCCAGGAGTGACCCACTCTTCACATCAGGACTCCCTTCCTCACCTCTGCCTGCAACCCCTGGGCCCCGAAAGCCTGCACCCCTCATGCCCACACCTTGTCCCTGGTTCTCATAAGCAGGGGGGCCAGTTCATCAGCGCCCCCCAAAGTCCATGCGTCCTCAGATACACAGCCACGAGGCTGCACCGCCCAGCCCTCAGGCGCTGAGTCCAACCTGCTTCTAACCAGACACAGTTGGGGCTTTTGTTTTTCGCTTCTTCCCAAGATGTCTCATCCGCGGACGGGGAGCTGGCCCTGTGCCCCTCCCCTTGGTGCAGGCTTGCCTGCAGGCGGGCAGCCCACCCAGCCCCTGCCCCTGCCCCTGCCCCACCCAGGGAGCTCTGAGCCCTCTCATGCTGTCTGGAAACCCTTTATTAAAATGCAGAGAAACAAAGAGGCTCCACACATCAGAAGCCACTGGATTTTTTTTATGTGCAGCTGTGGTGGCCTTCCCCGGTGGCAGTGTCTGGTAATGACAAACTCGAGGTTCGGTGGCTTTGGGGCCCCTTTTTCCAGAGTCACACTGGCAGCTCACACAGCCCCTCTTTGGAAGACTCACCATAGGCCCAGAGAAGTTTCCATCCAAGCTGGTTTTCCTTGAACCGACATCGACCTGAAACCCAGAGGGAGAAGTCTGCTTCGAGTCCTTTAATTACCAGCACAGCCAACGGGCCCAGGCATCGGATCCCTCGTAGGTCTCCAGCCAGCTGAGCAAGGGGCTGGGGCTGGCTGCTGCCTGGCTGGGGTCTGCACGGGAGCAGCCCTAGCTGGCACTGTGTCCTCGCTGCGTGGCAGGCACTGGGCTCGGCACACAACAGGGACTAACTGCTGGCATCCTCACAGCTGCCCAGGGAACAGCTGTGGTTTTGTGGTCCCGTTTACAGATGAGCAAACTCGGGCTCAGAAACGATCCTCCAGCTACCAAGCGACAGAGCTGGAATTCGAGACCAGGTTGTCAGACTCCAGAGCCTACCCTGAACTCTTGTCCTTCTCTGTCACCCTTACATTAGGAAAGTTGTTTTGCCTGTAGCCCACTGCCACAGAGTGCCTTCTGATGGGTTTCCCAGGTGGGAAATATTTACAGAAGCCGGCAACCTCACCTGTCTCCCACGGAGTGGCTTGTGGGCTCGAACCACCAACCTTGAGGTTAGCAACCCAAGGTTCCTTCATCTGACCCAATGTGGGCAGGGACTCCCTGGGTGGTACAAATGGCTCATGCACTTGGCCGATAGTCAAATTGTCAGGGATTTGGGTTCCTCCAGAGGTACCTCAGAATATAGGCCTGGAGATAGATCGACTTGTGAATAGCCAGCCACGGGAAACCGCAAGGTTCTACCCTGACACGCCGGGGGTTGCCATGAGTCAGAGCAGGTGCCACAGTCACTGATTTTTTTTTTTAATTGATTTATAATGGGCCAACTGGGAAGCACTCTGAAAGAACCAGCCTGCTCTCCCCTGGGGCCTGAGCAGAGCCTCGTTCTTGTCCCAGGAGGTGGGGGGTGACCACAGAGCAGAGAAGCCGCTCAGCATGGTGTGTGCCAGCCTTGGGGCCCAGGAGGGCAGGGCTGCAGCCAGGAAACCAGGGGAGCAACAGCTACAAGCAGAATGACCGGGTCAGGCCCTGTGGGGCCAAGTCCCCCCCCCCCTTCCCACTGTCCTGTGTCCTGGCCACACCCTGCCTGGACATGTGGTCAGAGGGTCTGGGGCATGACAGCTTGTTCTGGAATCTTTCCACTCAGTGCTTGCCGACCTGAGATATACCTTGCTTTTCTCACTCATACACGTAGTCCAACCAGCAGCATCACCACCCCACCCCACACCCCCCAGGCTCCAGGGGCATCCTAGGAAGGCAGCCAGTGAGGTCTGGGGAAAATGGACAGGACCCCAGCGGTGGGTGAGGAGACCCAGGTCTGAATGCTGCCTCCTGCACCCTGAGGCCTGCTCACGGTTCCTCACCAAGTTTCCCCAGCACAGACGTCTGTTCTAGGCACTGCCGGCACAGCCTCAGCCAAGGCAGGCAAAGACCCTGGCATAGGGTCCATGGAATCAGGACTTCGTGAAGCCAGAGTATGGCTTACGAACAGCACCTTGAAGCCACTGCCCAGTGCCAGAGGCACCCTGGGAGACGGACATGAGGCAGTGCCGGGGAACCTAGAGAAATGGGCAGCGCAGTAAGACAGTATATCACAGGGAAATAGGGACTGTGGGGACGAAGCAGGAGCAGGGGAGGGCACAAGGGGCAGGGGCTGCCGTTTCCTGTGGGGTGGTGAGGTGACATCTCAGCGAGGAGGTGACCAGTGAGTGGTGAGGAGAGGGACACGGTTCCAAGCCGAGGGAACAATAAACTAAACCCACTGCCCTTGAGTCTCTTCCGACTCACAGTGCCTCTACAGGACAGAGCACAACTCCCCTGTGGGTTCCCGAATCCGTAAATCTTCACAGGAGCGGACTTGGAGCCAGTCCCATCTTTCTCCCGGGAGCGGCTGGCGGATTCAAACTTGATCTTGAAGGTTCGCAGTCCATGGCATAACCCACTGCCCCTCAGGGGGAAACAATAAGTGCAAAAGCGAGGGAAGCTGCCTGCTTGTGGGGGAAGCAGCGGGAGGTGGGTGAGGAGGGGCAAGGGAAGGGAAGGGGAGAGGTATGCGGTTGGCTCCCTCCCCTTCTGTGGGCATTTGCAGGCCGCCTCCTCTTGGCAGGCAGCCTTTGGAGAGCTTGCCTCCCACTGCTGCCTGGAAGAAGCCTGTGAAACTAGAGGCCAAGAACAATGTGCTCTGTCTGCCCAGGACTGAGGACAGGGGTCAGGGAGCTGCGGCTGGCTCCCACCTCGCCTGCCTGTCCGCCGTGCCAGGAGCAGGTGCGCAGGGCAGACAGAGCAGCATTGTCAAGGTGCAGCGGGGACGGACTCCCTGCAAGGATGTAGCTCCCAATGAATACTGCAGGCAGGAAATCCCTCGAGCAGGTCTGCAGCCAGCCAGACCAGAGGAGGCCAGTTCTCTCCTGGTCAATGACTCCTCTTTGCTACCCTCAGGCCTCTGCAGACAGGTGTGAGTAGCCACGAGCTACACATGGAAATGGATGCTACCACCTGTTGACCAGCTCTGCCGCTTTGATAAGCCCAGAGCTTCGATGCTTGGTGGGGAGAAGGCACTGGGGGCAGGAGACATGCAAGCGGGGGTGTTCCCTAGAGCGGGCTAAGGAAGGCCGGGTTAGCATCACTGCTTGGCTTATTCAAGTGGCCATGCCTCTGTCTGTCCCTGGGACCCAAGAGCCATGGGGAGGGGGCTGCTGGGGCATGGGGCAGCAGGTAGAGCAACAGTTGTGCAGAGTCCAGGGTCAGCGGACTGCAGGCCCAGCTCTGAGACTGAGTAGCCATGGGGCTGTGAATGAGTGACTTTCCCTTTTCTGATCCTGTGGGGTTTTTTTCCATCTACAAAAACGGGTGTAACCCCACTGGGGACCCCCCAACCCCACCCCAAGACGATGACCCCTAGTCGTTCTGTAGGTCTGGCTCTGAACTCACTCCCCGGGTAGAAGAATTGACCAGTTAAGACCCAAAGGGCATCATTTACCCCAAGACAGATTTCAAAGGGTTAGGAGGGAATGAGGGAACAGGCACCCCAGGGAGGGCGTGGGAGACGGGACAGTGTGTGGATGGGCTTTCAGTGGGTGAGGCAAAGCAAGCTGGCTGTGTGTTTGTGCATGTGAACCTTTACCCAACCCACGGGACATTTTTCTTAAATAGGAGCAGCCTTAGGACAATGTTCTCTGGCTGGTGATGCTCAGGAAACAGTGCAGTGGTGAGATTTGGGGATGGCAAAGGGAGGCTAGGCAGACACAGTGGGGTGGGGGGTGTTATCGCTATGGGCCCTGCCTTGGCCTGGGTAGAGGGTCCCAACCTCACACCACACTTAGGCACCATTTCTCAGTCCTGGGGAGACAGGTGGGCTGGCACCAGACAGCTGCTTTCAGGGGGTCACAGTTCGGTTCAGGTATCATTTGCAAACCATGCAGTGGCACCAGACAGCTGCTTTTGGGGGGTCACAGTTCGGTTCAGGTATCATTTGCAAACCATGCAGTGCACCCATTTCAAGCGTCCAATTTGGAGAGTTTAGTTCATTTGGACAGTTGGGGGCATCACCAAAGCCCTGCTTTCGGACATTTTCATCCCCTTAGGGCAGTGGTTCTCCACTTCCTCATGCCGCGACCCTTTAATGTGCTTCCTCATGTTGTGGCGCCCCCCCACCATAAAATTATTTTTGTTGCTACTTCCTAACTAATTTTGCTAACTGTGATGAATCGGACGACCCCTATGAAAGGGTCGTTCGACCCCAAAAGGGGTTGCGACCCACAGGTTGAGAACCACTGGCTTAGAGGAAAGAATGAAGACGGGAAAAGACGGCACCACAGTGCTTATGTCCATCAGATGATCGATTGCAGCAGGAGGGGTTTGAGTTAGACGGAAGGAAGGACTGGAAGGTTGGGTGGGGGGGATGAATTCTGCCTCAGAACAGAGTTGAGCATTGCATAGGAAGAGGAGAAAAACACCCGTCCCAGGGAACTTGGGACATTATCTGGAGACAAAACGCCAGAAAGGGTGACTTCTGACCTTTGGGACTCGGGAGAGGGATATCTTGGGAGTCAAATATCTTTGGCAAAAGGTTCAGATCACTGGAGAGAAAGCCCAGTGGGTGGGATG